ACTGTATCAGTCTTTTTCCAAAGACCGGTCTAGTCTGGTCGCATCGGTTCTTTTGCTCATCTCTACTAGATACTACTCCGTAGTATTTTTATGGGATATAGGTGGTCTTTTCTACTACTTTAAAAAAGGCACAATATTTTTATAATGCTGATAAAATACATTAAAATATATCTAACTCTGCTTAGACTTAAAATAATATATTGAATTTACAGAATCTATGGATTCTAAACAATATATCAAAATCTTTTAAAATTTAAATTGAATACACCCCCTAAGTGTAACTCATTAAAGTTTTATTTTTATTTGTTAGAATTTAAGAGTTAGATATTGAAAAAATTAAAAAAAAAATACGAGTTAAAAAAAAATAGAAAAAGTTGGAAAATATTAGAAGAATTAAAGTAAATAACTATACGACTCCCTCAAATTATTGACTCTCAAATAATACAAGAAGACTAGAAGAGTAACTCCTTTTAATTTCTCCCAATAGTGAAAGCTCTTCTTATTATTCTCATGTCAAACTAAATATTTCATTCGTCTTAAAATGATTTTTCTAGCTAGTTCAATTTACGAGATATGACTGAAATTATTTTCAATTCAATTTATTTGATTATAGATGTAAAATTAAAAAATAAAAATTATATATTTTAAAACTACATTAAAAATTCTACAAAACAAGAGATGACATGACAATATTATTTTATCAAATAAGTAACGAAAATAGCTAGGTAAAAAAAGTGATTAAAAGTTGACCATGTGAATAGTGATTGAGAAAATCATTTTAGGGACGGAGTGGGCATATATTTTTTAATATGTTTATATTGATTATTTAATAAAATAAATTAATCTTGTTATCATTATTTTTTTGTAAAATTTTTCATGTAACTTTTTACTATATAAACTGGGTAGTTTTTATTTTTAAATTTCATACAAATTTCAGTCAAACATTGTAAAGTAAAACAGAAAACTCATTTCGGGATGGAGGAAATATACAAAAATATAAAAATAACACAATAATTCTTTTGTTTAGCGATACACGTACATTTAATTTTATATATACTTCCCCTATATATTTTAAGAGCCTGTTCATTAGGACTAGAAAAAAAGAACTGGATGTTGAAAGAAACTGGAAAAAAACTGGAAGAAACTAGAAGAAACTGGAAGGAACTGAAAGAAACTGAAAGAAACTAGAAGAAAAAAGGAACTAGAAAAAATTGGAAGGACTCGAAAAAACTAGAAAATTTTCAAAAAATTAGAAAATCTAAAAAAACTTTAGAAAAATTCATTTTAGTGCATTTTTATATTATTCTGATTCTAATTTTTGTTGTTATAGATTATTATTATTATTATTATCATCATCATCATCATCATCACGTTATCTTAATGAATGCATTTAAAATAAAAAAATATTACTCCATGTTATTTTTCAAATACAAAAAATTACTTTTGCAAATAAAATAATTATATTAAATAGTTAGCATAAATATCAAAATTTTAAATTTTAAAAATATTTTGTAGTTACGTTGCACCTCAATTTATTTATAAAGTATTTATTATAAAGAATATATTTGTAATTATATTCTTTATAATTACAAATAAAGAATAATTTGCGATTAGTGTTAATTAGTATTTTGGATAAATTTTTATTAGTTTTGAATAATTCGGAAAACTCTAACGCTAAAGACTTATACGTGCTCCTAAACATCACACGTCCTCTTTGCATGAGTCACGTCAGAGGAGTGTTGTTCCTAACAATAATCACACTCTTTTCATGAATTTTTAAACTATGTTGAAAAATAATAAAAAAAAATGACATTAAAATGTCTTGTGATCACATATTGTTTTTTAAGAGAAAACTTAACTGATTTTCTTTGTGACGTAAGACAAAGGTAAATGAAAAAATATTTGTGGAACAATGGTGTTGGTTAGTTATTACTTGGTTTATTATTAGAGTTGGAAGAAATTTAATGAAGAATTTTCTGTAAAAAAATAAAGAATTGACTAATTAGTTGATGGTTTTATTTTCTGAAACAAGTATTTTATTAAAGATCAGTTAGTGATTAAGAGTTTCGTTATTGTACTTTTAGAGGCACTGTTGTTGGTTAAAGTGTCAAATAAAAAAAGAGAAATGCTAGAGTCACGAACATTAATTTTAGTCACAAAATACACAATCTTGCCATTTGTGCACCACACCAAGTGAATAAAATGATGTTAAATAATTAAAAAGTAGACATTTAATTACACAAATAGTAAATTTGTGTATTTTGTGATCAAAGTGTTTGTGACTCTAGCTATCTGCCTAATATGGAAATATAAACTTTTAGTCGCCTTGGAAATTAAAAGTTCTACTCTTGGAAAAGTGAGTATTATTTTTCCAAGTGTATTTTTGTGTCGTTGCACCGACGCCATGGGTGGCCCAGAGAGTGTGCAAAATGGCCAACCGCATAGGACCCTTAAAATTTTAGGATCCTATATTTTTAAATTCATCATTAATTTTGAAGCATAAGTATTCTAAAATAATAAAATAGGGTTCAAAATATAAATTTCGGACTGGGTCATTTTCATTTTTTCATTTTTCGAGGCCGGCCCTAACCGACGCTGACTCGCAAGCGGATGCCGAGTCTCACATGAAATACAACCTCAAATACAACAGTTAATTGGAATAACCTCAACATTTTTTGGTGGGGGCGTCGGTGTCTCCTTTCCATATGCATCTTTAAAGTAGGCAAGGCATTCTTCGTCGATGCAGTTTTGGCGACAGACTTTGTTCATATCTATTAATTACTATATGTTTGTTTATCGTTATGCTTTTCACAATAGGATCTCTTCGGCAGAATCTTTTGCCACGTCCTATTCCGGTAGGAGAAATCCCAACGACGAAGAGGGGATCACCGTTGAGGTGGCGGGTGATGTGGATCGGAGTTTGCAGCGCATGCAGGGGGGAGGAAGGGCATACAAAATTAAGCTCCCAGCGATCCACCAAGATATATTGATCAGGTTATTCCAATTAACTTGTATTCGTCTGAGGCTCAGCATCCTCATCCTCCTGGGAGTCATCGCACGTCACCTGATGAGGAAAATAATAACTTTTTCAAGAGTGAAACTCTTTTGAGTCGCCATAATTGGATTGAATTCTTCTTTTAGTTTTTTTTTTATGGAGCTGGTGCGGATAAAAAAGGCAATGAGAGAGCTATAGGGAAAAAACTTTGGAATGGAGGGAGTATCGAATCCCTTTAATTAAATAGGCCGACCCAAAAGGATCGGGTACTCCCTCTGTCTCAAAATTATTTTTCCTCTCTTGGCTTTTTTATCCCCACGAGCTCCACAAAAAAACTAAAAAGAAGAATTCCAATTATGAAGATTTTAAAAAAAAAATTCTCTTGAAGAAGTTATTATTTTCCTCATCATTCTTCCAACTGATATCATGTGTCGTTGCACAAACGCTCACTCCGATCAAGAAGAATGACGAGCCTCACATGCATCAAACACAAACTTATATATAAGATAATTGGAATAACCTCAATATTTGCAAAGGACATAAGCATTTTAAACTGGGCATGCATCAGCAGGGGTTCTTATATACATGGCCGCCCTTGACTGTTGACCGGCCTCATCGCTGCAGATTTCATGAGTGCTAGATAGACTGTACCCGGAATATAATCGAAGACGTACGTACCCCAAGGCTGCTTAAAGATTTCTCTCCGAGGCACGGGGAAGTCAAGTTCTCAAAGGGGGCAAACGCTTTCCCCATGAAGAAGAAGAAGAAGCTCTTGCCCGGACTCATCATACATCAAACCAAGGAGGAGGTTATGAGCATGAGAGAATGTTACTCATGTTCTTTTTTTTAGTGGGAAGGGAGTATTGTATTTATTATATTTATACATGCCTCCTCATATGAGTCATATATATATCCCATATTTATATATAATTCCTACTCCTCACATACTCTTTGCATGATCGAGTCGTAGTCACGCAACAAGAGTTTTGTTCCTAACACTCGTCATGCTTTATTATTGTTTTCTGTTTATGTTTTGAATTATAATTGTCTCATTACCAAAAAAACCTTAATTAAGTTTAATTTTTATCCAATTCTTTTTTTAATTATGATTCCAACATAATAAAAAAAATTAACATATTAAAAAAAATAACATCATGAGCTCCATAAAAAAAAGAGGTGGTGGACATATGTAGTATAAAAAAGAGAATGATAAAAAAAACTAAACTAAGAGTAAAATATGAAGAATGTGTCAAACTAGAGCTCTATTTTTTTATACCCAAAATAAGAGCAAAATGCTGATATATAGTCTAAAAAATACAATGGGTTGCTACTATGCAATTGCCATTATGTCACAGTATAAACTCTTATTTTAAAAATAAAAATATAAAACTCTTATTTTTAGGATAAGTGTTGCACCCTCTATTCACTAAAACTCTTCCTATTTTATTATTTTCTTGGCACAACGAATCTAAAAGGGGTGGGGTGGCAGATGACGATGCAATTAGGTACGGTGATGGCGACGTTGGAGATTGTAAAAATGGAGAAGCTATTCCGGGGAGATAGGGGAAAGGGCGGATGATTTTTACCCAACTTTGGGTTTTGATTTGGGCAGCGTTGGGAATGCGTATATGGAAGTGCAAGTGTGCAACACATAATGTTTTTATTTAATTTAAATTTAATTCCTACTTTGGACATATAAGTTAAGAACTCCTATTTTAGGAACATGCTTAGGGGTTTTCTTTTAGATTAAACATCTGTCAAGAGTGTTTTACACTTTCATTTTATTAAACTCACTCCAACCATACCTTCTATATAATACTTCCTCCGTCCCAAAAAGTTCTTCTTTCTTTGTTTTTGGGTCCCACAAATTCCAATCTTTTGCGGTTGCCAAATCGGGGATCCAATGGGGGCTGGGGTGGGGTCGGGGTGAAATTAATGGGGTGGGGGTTTTGGGAGATGGAAAATATCAATTTTGCAAATGGAGCATCGTAAGTGCTCCAAAACCACTGGTGTCACGATGTTACACCATTTGAAATGATGTAATGGACCATTGCGTGATCAAATAAATACATCGGTAGTTGTGAGTTTTCAACTTGCAGATCAGCTGCGCAAGGGAACCTAAGTATATAGCAATAATAAAGAGGTGGCTACACAAACAAGAAGAGAATCAAGAGACAGTCTATTCACTCTGGCCTCCAGCAGAGGACAGGAAATTGGTGTACCTGTGCTTGAGGAAGGATTTGATGAAGGGATCCAACTCTCCATCCATTACAGACCCGATGTCGCTGGTTTCGCAGCCCGTCCGAACGTCTTTCACTAGCTTGTATGGATGGAACACATAGTTCCTTATTTGTTGGCCCCACTCCGCCTTCACCGCATCCCCTCTTATTTGCTTTATTTCAGATGCTCTTTGTTCCTCCGCTATCACTAACAGCTTCGCTTTCAATCGGCTCATAGCCTTTATCTTGTTTGCTAGCTGTGTTCTCTCCTCTGCATCATCATCATCATCATCATTTTAGAACCAGGCAAAGGGAGCGCAACCTTTCTTACGAAGAAATAGAGATGATATTTTAACACCATAACCTATCTAAAAGTATCCAATTATATGTAGGACGGTGGGGTGGATGACAAGGAGCAGGGGGGTGGGTGAGTGGGTTCGGCCCAGGGGTAGCAGGGTAGAATCAAGGGGGCGAGGGATAGGGGTGGCACAATGGGGGTTGATGGGAGTGGCAGGGTTGGGGCATCAAAAGCAATTGAAAAATATTTTCCCCTTGATGGAAGAAAATATTGTCTTTGGGAAATATTTTCCTACCACTTATGTTACGGAGAAAATATCCCCCCCCCCAAAAAAAATAAACTAAGCGTACCATAAATAAAATTGATTTCCCTTTTTTCAAGGCAAAACCAAAGGTTAAAAAGAAAAACAGTGTCATTACCTACTGTTTTCCCATTCTCTACGAATTTCCTGGTTCCAAACATAACCTATAAGTTAATTCCACTTCATAGAAAATATTTGAGGGAGATGAGTTGATGTAATGGTAAACCTGTACAGCGGACAGCTACACCAGTGGGGAGATGTGTGATGCGTACGGCTGTTTCAACCTTGTTTACATTTTGACCTCCTTTCCCACCTGCTCTGGTGAAACTGATTTCCAAGTCTTCGGCTGGTATTTCAACATCTCTTGAGTCCTCAGGGAGAAGAGGCATGACCTCAACACCGGAGAAGCTTGTCTGCAAATAAAAGCTTTCAGAGGAGAAAGAGAGAGAGAATCCCAATGCAAACCCCCTTCACATACAAGGTGAAAATAAAAAAAAGCATTGCAGAAAAGAAGGAACTCGGGGAGAGAAGCTAAATTAAATAATATAAACTTGTGACTGTTACCCAAAATCTGTAAAAGGAGGATAAGGGCAAGAGTGGAAGTCGGACATGTACAAAGAGAAACAGAGACAAATAGAAAGAGAGATAAAAAGAGAGGGGTGAATACAATGAGTGATAGTTCAGGGCGTAAGATTGGCCATGAGATATCCAGTAATGTGCATATGCTACTATAGCAATGCTAAACTTGGAATACATGAAATCTTTTAATGATTACCTGTGACTGGTTTTAGTGCACGATAAGATGGAAAGTGTGAGGTTTTGAATTGACACAGAAACTAAGGACGGCCTCCCTCCGTCCTACAAAACAGTCCTGATTCAAGAACTATTTTGTCCCAAAACAATGTCGTGCAAGAGCTAAGAGTTCAGTTTCAAAAGTCAACTTTCATTTTTACCAAAATTCCGGATCAAACGGTTTTAGTTAGACCTGGCAATCGGGTCAATCGGTTCGGTTCCGGTTCGGGTCTTTTTGGTTCGGGTCTCTTTCGGATATATGTTATAATCGGTTCGGGTCAGGTCGGTTCGGGTCAGTTCGGTTCCGGGTTTATTTCGGTTTGATTGGTTTTCGGTTTCGGTTCGGTTTCGGTTCGGGTTTGTATCAGTTCGGGTTTATATCGGTTCGGGTTTATATCAGTTCGGGTTTGTATCGATTCGGGTTATATCGGTTCAGGTTTGTATCAATTCGGGTTGTATTGATTTGGGTTTATATAGATTTGAGTTTATATCAGTTTAAATTTATATTAGTTCAAGTATAATGTAAACACATGCATACTAATAAATGAATAAATGACATAATAAATTTAGTTAATTTAGTTAACTATAATTTTTATATACTTTCTATAAAAATACAAAAGTATTTTAACTTAAGTTATAAAATGCAAAGTAAAAGATTTGTACATGAAAGTAGTTACATGGTTTGCACCCATAATTTAAATATGTTTTTTTAGAAACACATCAACATATGTAAAAATATATAGGTAATTCGTTTTCTCCAAATTCATTTGATAAATGAAATATTAATGAATTTGATCAATTTCGGGTCTAATCGGGTT